TCCATTTTGTTCCTGAAGTCATGATGGTGCTATGATTTAAGTGAGTGGTTCTTTTTAACAAAAAGGCTGGCACACTGAAGTGTAAGTGTGTGTTTTATTCTAACACAATGGGAATGTAGAAGTGGTTGTGAAGCATGGGTGGCAGGGAGGAGATACATGTTAATTGTGTGCTTTGCATGTGAAGTAAGTGTTTTAACTGATTTCAATATTGTGTTTTAATATTGTTGTAGCCTGCCCTGGGGACTTTATGATGAAGAGAAGGTAAGAAATTGAATAATAGCACTATTTAACACATTTGAATCATACACTCAATGCAAGCTTGAATTATTGTCTAAAGGGCTTCGAAATATGTTCCTGGGCTTTCAGAAATCAGCCTCATATAACCAACATGCTTAAGTCTAGTTAATGCATGAAGGGGTTAATACCACAGAGTCAACTGTCCTGTCAGGTTTAGCTATGTCACTTCCCCATACTTTGGGAGGAAATAGGTAATCAAGCCTATTGTTTTCCCCAGTCTACCTGAGAAACTCAGTGTGTGAGGAGGTTTGAGCTGGTTGCTCCAGCTCAACCGCATGGCTCTCACCAGCCACTCTTGAATTCCTGTATCAGGAATCTAGGAACTTTTACCACTTTGTAACTAAGCTAAGTTTTTCTGCCTGTGCAGCTTTTCTGACTGATGTATGGAAAAGCACATGAATCTGACATTTGAAGAGCTTGTAAGTCAGGCTTCCCCAAACTCGGCCCTCCAGCTGTTTTGGGACTACAACTCCCATCATCCCTAGCTAACAGGACCAGTGGTCAGGGATGATGGGAATTGTAGTCCCAAAGCAGCTGGAGGGCCAAGTTTGGGGATACCTGTGTAAGTAAACCAATTTTTAACTTGCCAAACGTGTAGTAGTTTCCTATGCTGGGGAAAAAGTGAAACTTTGGAACTCTCTTGGAAGGGCATATTTTAAACGTCTAACAACCTATATCTTCACGTTTTGCTTTGCTGCGTATTTTGTGACTTTAATTGTCTTCTGAGGTGCTCTCACCAAAGAGTGCTTGCCCCAAACCTGGATTTTGGCATCCGGGGAATTCTCCTTTTGTACATATATATACTTTTGCACCAACAAGAAAAACATATGATATGGATACATCCACCCCTTGCTTGTCGAGTGTTTGCTTTACATAAGATACACAAACCATTCAAAACACTTTTGTAGTAAAGATCTCAGACTGAACTCTTAATTGGCTTAGATGAAGAGTCAAAGGTCTTTAACAATGTCTCAAATTCTCATAATTTTCTACCTGTGCTTCTCCCACAGACGCTATTATCCAGAGATCTGCATTACTGAGTCATATTTAACGGAGGTGATTCAGCCTAATCACAGCTAATGGCATAAACTTTGCTTTAACTGGCACAATATTAACATAAATTCTGCTTCGTGAGGTTAGTAAATTTCTGGTGCCATCTAAGTACCGAAGCAAGTTGTTTTCAACCTTTAAGCAAAGTCCTAGCCAAGCAATGAATGGCCTTGCAAAACGATGAACTGCTTTGAAACAGATCCCATCACTTTGCTTTCCTCCCCAGAAGAATATCCGCCCCCTACTAATGTTTATTTATATGACACTAAAATATGACTGCGAAACATGCGCTGAGCCATAGATCCCCCTTCACACAGGGTAGCAAAGCACATGTGTTGGGAATTTGAACAACAAATTCACAGAAATGGGCCGATCGGTACTAGGAAAGCATCATTCTAAGCATTATGAGGGGGAAATTGGGAGCAGGATGAACTCCTCAGAGGAACAGCTGCAGATCAGAAAGTGATTATCGCTTTCAGGCTCAAAGTACAAATACTTTCTGTTCTGCATGATGCAGAACATTAAAGGACAAGCTGTCTGCAGCAATAGTTCACAATCTGTTTTCCGTGCTGGGACAAGTAATTTGAGAACCATACACAGCACTGGCAAGGAAAGACACATATGAAAGCATTGAGGGATACAAAACAGAACCATTACGTTGGAGCAGAACACTTTTATTTGTCTGTTTCCTTTGACTCTAAGAGCTCTTCCAGACTGGTGGATTGTGGAGGGGTTTTTTTTCGGGGGGGCAGGAGAGATTCTGCAACATGTCATTGATATGTCATATCCTTCAACAAGTTGAATCCCAAAAGTGGGACAGGTGTCTTCCTGTCTGTACGAGTCATGTGGAGGAGTTTGGATTTGATATCCCGCTTTATCACTACCCAAAGGAGTCTCAAAGCGGCTAACATTCTCCTTTCCCTTCCTCCCCCACAACAAACACTCTGGGAGGTGAGTGGGGCTGAGAGACTTCAGAGAAGTGTGACTGGCCCAAAGTCACCCAGCAGCTGCATGTGGAGGAGCGGAGACGCGAACCCGGTTCCCCAGATTACGAGACTACCACTCTTAACCACTACACCACACTGGCTCTCAGTGAGGCATCACGGAGCCCCAAAATATCTGCTTTCACAACACCCGAAAAGGTGTTTGGCGTGCCGTGTGAGATCGCTGTACCCCCAAAAAACCGTTTTTTTCTGAGCGATATCTCAGCACAAAATTATGGCACCCAAAATGGTAACCAAGCTCTCAGAGGGAAAAAAGGGATGTCCTGGTTTTTCTGGGACACTTGTGGGATTTATACTGGACGGTCTGTTTTAAGAGTTGTTCTGTAATGTTCCCCCACAGTTATTGCATTATTGATGTCTGCCATAGCACCACAAAAGCACGATGGCAGAAAAGCAAGATGACTTCCTTGTTTTGGTTGGAGAACACCTTCCAGGTGTGTCAAGATGCAGAAAAAGCTGAGTTTGGAGTGGAAATTTCTTAAGCAGCTTCCCATGTGGCACTGTAGGAAAAGATGGCAGGTCTCCATTGTTTCATGTAAAAAGGATAAAAGGTAAAGGACCCCTGGACAGTTAAGTCCAGTCAAAGGCAACTATGGGTTGCAGCGCTCATCTCACTTTCAGGCTGAGGGAGCCGGCAGCTTTGTCCACAGACAACTTTCCGGGTCATGTGACTAAACCGCTTCTGGCGCAACACAACACCGTGACGAGTGCCAGAGCGCATGGAAATGCCGTTTACCTTCCCACCGCAGTGGTAACTATTTATCTACTCGCACTTTTGAACTGCTAGGTTGGCAAGAGACAGAGCAACGGGAACTCACCCCGTCGCGGGGATTCGAACCGCTGACCTTCCGAACGGCAAGTCCTAGACTCAGTGGTTTCGACCACAGCGCACCCCCCCCCGTTTTTCCTGTAACTTAGGCTATGAACAGCAGAGAACCTGCACAAGCAACGCTGACACGAAACCCTACATACATTAAGCAAAATAGAAACATTGCCACCTGACCCCCACCCATCTTCCCCCCCTCCACACCTTCCCACCCCCCCATGTCTCAACAAATGAAACTGATTTGTAAAAATGTTACGTGGAAAAAATACGAGACATTACGCATACGTCTGTAAATCAAGAAAATCTTAATAATAATAATAATAATAATAATAATAATAAAATAAATAAAGTTTTCAGGCAGGATCTCTCCCAGTCCCACCAGGAGATGCTGGGGACTGAACCTGATGCCATCTGCATGCTAAGCAGTTGTTCTACCACTGAGCTATGGCCCTAGCTCACAACATTGCTGTCAGGATAAAATGGAGAAGGTAGAGGCAGAAGTGTATATGCTCTGTGGAGGAAAGGTGGGATAGAAGTATAAGAAGGAATACAGTATGTAAACTAGCCTATAAGTGAATAAACTACAGTATATTTTTAACTTACTCTCCTAATAATTTGTATATAAATTCTAAAAGTGGTATATAAATTTGGTATTTTTTTTAAAAAAGAGGAAATGTTCAGACTTTCAAACAGTGTGTTATACCTGAGCCTTCATTGCTGAAACTCCCAACAGCATTTTCATGCTCACAAACACCTGATGAAGGCTTAAGGAACCATTGTGACATAACCCATTCAAGCAGATTTAAGGGGCAACAGGCTGTCAACAGTGGCAGTAGTTGGGAGCTCCCTGCTATTGAAAAGCCACATAGAGTCTTTTCATACTGCCTGAGGAATTAATTCCTTATTTAACGTTCCTAATTACTGGATCGATTTAACAGGACTGGAGCTAACATTTGCTTGGATTTGGCCCCATTGATAGGGAACTGCCTGCTGTGTCCTCTGCTTTGAAGTCACCCTGGTCTTTGGGCCTCCAGCACCTTCTTCAGCATGTCCAACCCATCTAAGAGGCGTGTGATACTGGTGTTCCACTGGGTTAGGAAGACGCCCCTGACAGAGAAGCCGTGCTCTACCATCTCGGCCAGACCTTCTGCCTCTGCACCGGCTTGCAACACTCCTCACATTTCACCCTACTTGACAAGGAGCAAGACACAACCCGCTCCGCTCAGGAGGTTCAGCAGGCGCAAGGTGCTGCGATTTCCAAATCTCACCGACCCCAGGTTTTTAAGATCGGTCATTGGCAGCATTGGCCGGAAGAGAGCCCACAGGCGTGGCAAGCGAAAGAAGACTCCAGCGTAACCAGGACAAGGGGAATCAGCCTACTGGAGTTGCCACTGACAACCACTCTCAGCCTCCTTTTTCCCCTTCTGGCCCAGCATGCTTTGCGTGCACCCAACATGGCGGCGCCCAGCCCCAGCACGTCCCGACCGGCGCCCGCTTTCTCTTTCCTCTTCTCCGCCTTAATGGGCGGGGCTGAAAAACCCGCGGAGGGGCAGCCTCTGCCGGCTGCCGAACCGAATAAGAAAAAGCCGCCCTGTCGGACCTGCACGGACTTCAGGAGTTGGACACAGGATCAGAGGAAGCAGTCGGACCTGCTATTCTTTTTCTTTTTTAAAAAATAATTTTTATTGAATAATTTTATGTTACAAAAAACAATACAGCCATACTACCACTAAATATAATTAAGAAATAAAAATTACATACATCAATATTTAGTTTGTTATTTGTTATTTACCGTCTTATTTCCTCCCAAACATTGCATACATATGAGTGTTTTTGTATGCGGACCTGCTATTCTTAAGGAGGCTAATGGAAAAGAAGACTTGGGAAAGAACCTCCTGAAGCTTCGGAATGACCAGAAAGAGGCTGTGCTGAAGTTTTCCATCACGTGGAACACAAACTGGCGGAACTACCTCGAGGCTCAGGCAGTGGTGGAAACCCTCCTCAAGCATGAGACGCCAGAGAGCCTCTTGCAATACGAAGGGATCAAAGCAGCTGTGGAGTCTCTCCTACCATACACAGAACGGCACTTCCAGAGGCTAGGCCAGTTACTGCAGGCCTCCATGTTCCTCGATTTCATGTCGCAAAACAGGAAGCTGCCTGACGCCGCCAAGTGGGACGAGGAGATGGACACGTGATGAGCTTTGGGTGCCAGCGGCATGCGGGGCAGAAGGGCTGGACACTCCTGCCAAGTTGGCACTGCTCTCACCGGTGGAATGTGTTAAATTGGTTTGTAAAAAAAACTCCCACAAATGTATGTTTTTCATTTTGTAAAAGCATAAATCTCCCGAAAGTGTCTTCCTACATACATCCCTTCCCCATCCCCGTTAAAAATGAAATAAAATTATTTAGCATTTAAAAAAAACAAATTTTTATTAATTTTTCAGTTTATACATCTCAAAATAAACATTTTACATAATTGTTGTTGTTGTTTAGTCGTTTAGTCGTGTCTGACTCTTTGTGACCCCATGGACCAGAGCACGCCAGGCACTCCTGTCTTCCACTGCCTCCCGCAGTTTGGTCAAACTCATGCTGGTAGCTTCGAGAACACTGTCCAACCATCTCGTCCTCTGTCGTCCCCTTCTCCTTGTGCCCTCCATCTTTCCCAACATCAGGGTCTTTTCCAGGGAGTCTTCTCTTCTCATGAGGTGGCCAAAGTATTGGAGCCTCAGCTTCATGATCTGTCCTTCCAGTGAGCACTCAGGGCTGATTTCCTTAAGAACGGATGTGTTTGATCTTCTTGCAGTCCATGGGACTCTCAAGAGTCTCCTCCAGCACCATAATTCAAAAGCATCAATTTTTCGGCGATCAACCTTCTTTATGGTCCAGCTCTCACTTCCATACATCACTACTGGGAAAACCATGGCTTTAACTATACGGACCTTTGTTGGCAAGGTGATGTCTCTGCTTTTTAAGATGCTGTCTCCATGGACAAAGACAAAAGGCATTTTACATAATATGATGTAACAATTGACTTCCCTTCTTCCCCTTTCATGGTTCATTTTACTTATCATCATTCCTGCATATTTTACTATAGCAAATCTAATCATTTCTCCATTTTACATCCTTCAAATATTTACCATACTGCTGAATTTATCTAAACACTACCAGTGTTTTCAATTGTACACAATTATTTTCTAAAAATTCAGTAAAAATTTTCCACTCCGCTTTGAATAAATATTCTTCTTGCCCTCTTATTCTATGTTAAACCTGCTGCTTCTGCAAATTCTATCATCTTAAGTTGCCCGTCTTCCTTACTAGGGATCTCGCTCATTTTCCATCTTTGGGCTAGCAAAATTTGAGCTTCTGTGGTGTGTGGAGGTGGGTGTGGGTGTATATGCATGCACTTTGTTTGATTAAAAAGCCTCTCATTACCGCCTTACTGGCATCCCAAACCATGTTTAGATCTGTTCCTTTATTAAGGGTGAGGTTGAAAAATTCTTGTAGGGAACATATTCGCTTATTAACAATTTCTATATGATGTAGTATCGCATCATTTAGCCTGCCATGGTCATCAGAATACCATTGTGATCTGATAACGTCCTTGGTTGGATCTCATCCTTTTTTACTCTAGTTGTCAGGTCTTTCAAAGCCCATTACAACTCTATTCTACTTGAAGAATTGTTGCGTTTGAGAAAAAAGTGGATTCCCGGACCAGTGGGTGTCTGAGACACCAAATATCAGTTAGATCCATGTTGGCCACCATGTCGAAAAAAGCATTAGGTAGTTTCCCTTCTTTAGAGTCTGATTTTCTTATAGATCAGTCTAAATCTAGGGACACCACACCATTAAAGTCACCCATCATTATTAATTTGCCATCAAATATCAAACAGTTTCTCTTCTATAGTTTTGAAGAATTCAGCTTTCTGCTTGTTAGGAGCATATACCCGTATTTTTCGCTCTATAAGATGCACCAGACCATAAGACGCACCTAGTTTTTGGAGGAGGAAAACAAGAAAAAAAATATTCTGAATCCCAGAAGCCAAAACAGCAAGAGGGATCGCTGCGCAGCGAAAGCAGTGATCCCTCTTGCTGTTCTGGCTTCTGGGATAGATGCGCAGCCTGCATTCGCTCCATAAGACGCACACACATTTCCCCTTACTTTTTAGGAGGGAAAAAGTGAGTCTTATAGAGCAAAAAATACGGTAGTTTCATAATGACCCTATGAGGAAGTTTAGGCTAAGAAGCAGGTTTTTAACATGGGCGAGTAGAGATTTGAATGTGGCAATGAAATTATTTTCCTGCATTGCCATGAGATGGCATCTCAGAGCTGAGGGCATAACAGCAGAAAAAGTTTGATTTATGTTTCTGTGCAGCCTCACATCCCTTGCATAGCTTTTGGGTGGGAATGGTGGGGTTTTCAGCTCATTTCCAGATTGCATAATACATTTCCAGTGCAATCCTATACATGCTTGCCCAGATATAAGGCCCAGTTATGTCCTGGTACGTGGGTATTGGATTGCACTGTTAGGCTCTACACACTTACCTGGGAGCAAATACCATTAAATTCAGTAGAGTAGAGATGTAAAGGATTGTGCTGAACAGAAATCTGTAAAGGTTAACAAAAAAAGCGGCTCTCCCACCTTTGTTCCCAGAAACTGTCTCGCTCAATCTATAATCGTCAGCTGCATTCTTTAGCTCCAGAGAAAAGAGAGCGATGATTTAAAAATAAGAAACGATGATTCGATTCGTAATGAGCTTTTTCTAAAGAGCAAACGATAATGTGTTGAAATATGTATTCATAAACCGTGGAAATCATCTTGCATATATTTTGCACCTTCGCTCCCACGAGAGATCCCAAGGCCTTGTTGCTAACTGCATGAATCATACCACCAATCTTTGGGATACAGGGCCTAAATTCTCTCCACTAGGAAAGAGCCTGCTGACTCTGATAAACAATCAAAAGGGAGAAGATAGGTCCCCCCCCCCATTTTTTAAGCTAACTACATATTCCATACACATAACTGTAGCAGGGTCCCAGTCTTGTTTTTCAACAAAAATAAAAAATAAGTAGTTTTGATCAGAGGGAATTAGGCTATGCACACATTAGTGGTTTAAAATGAAGCCCATTCTGCATTCCAAGGCACACTGGGTGAAGTGGAAATGTCTTCACCCAATGCTTATTGCCTGTTTACATTCTCTGTGCGTGCATGCCATACCCTCCAACATTTCTCCGATGAAAATAGGAATGTCCTATTCCATCATCATCATCATCATCTCATCATCATCATATTTTTATTATCTATAGCCTGCCCCATCTGACTGGTTTGCCCCAGCCCCTCTGGGTGGCTTCCAACATATATAAAAACATAATAAAATGTCAAACATTCTTTAAAAACACTTCCCTAGACAGGGCTGCCTTCAGATGTCTTCTAAGGGTTGTAATTTACTTATCTCCTTGGCTCGGGGGTTGCGTAACTCCAACTTTTCTCTGATGAAATTAGGGACATCCTAAGGAAAAGTGGGACATTCCGGGATCAAATCAGAAACCAGGATAGCTTCTTTAAAATTGGGAGTGTCCCTGGAAAATAGAGACACTTGGAAGGTCTGACATGGCCCCAACTCCTATTCGTGAAGCTGTCATCTGCACATGTGCAATGGCTATCTCAAACATACAGTGGTACCTCTGGTTAAGAACTTAATTCGTTCCAGAGGTCCATTCTTAACCTGAAACCGTTCTTAACCTGAGGTACCACTTTAGCTAATGGGGCCTTCTCTTGCCACCACACGATTTGTGTTCTCATCCTGAAGTAAAGTTCTTAACCTGTGGTACTACTTCCGGGTTAGCGGAGTCTGTAACCTGAAGCGTTTGTAACCCGAAGCGTTTGTAAACTGAGGTACCACTGTACACACCTCGGCTTAGTTGCAGATTAGAATCATAGAATCATAGAATCATGGAGTTGGAAGAGACCACAAGGGCCATCGAGTCCAACCCCCTGGCAAGCAGGAAACACCATCAGAGCACTCCTGACATATGGTTGTCAAGCCTCTGCTTAAAGACCTCCAAAGAAGGAGACTCCACCACACTCCTTGGCAGCAAATTCCACTGTCGTACAGCTCTTACTGTCAGGAAGTTCTTCCTAATGTTTACGTGGAATCTTCTTTCTTGTAGTTTGGATCCATTGCTCCGTGTCCGCTTCTCTGGAGCAGCAGAAAACAACCTTTCTCCATCCTCTATGTGACATCCTTTTATATATTTGAACATGGCTATCATATCACCCCTTAACCTCCTCTTCTCCAGGCTAAACATGCCCAGCTCCCTTAGCTGTTCCTCATAAGGCATCGTTTCCAGGTCTTTGACCATTTTGCTTGCCCTCCTCTGGACACGTTCCAGTTTGTCAGTGTCCTTCTTGAACTGTGGTGCCCAGAACTGGACACAGTACTCCAGGTGAGGTCTGACCAGAGCAGAATACAGTGGCACTTGTTTTCAAGTGGAGGCTGATATGAAGGAAAAGGCATCAAACACCTGGAGTTCTCAAGAAGCTATGGAATCGAGACCATGAGACGCAGGACACAGGTGGATCCTGCTCATTGTCCCTCCCTGTTGTCTGGGAGGGGGACTGTAGAGGATGGGATGGAGGTAGCGTTTTCGGTGGCAAAACGTCCTGGGCTGGCCCTGTACAGGATAGATATGGACTCAGGCTAATGTCATTTGAACACAGTTTTAATAACCAGCAGGCCATGAACATACTTTATGTTTAAAACACCCCCCCCCCCAAATTATGAGCACTGTAGTTTATCCCCAGAAACCCTTAACAAATTCCCAGAAACCCTTAACAAACAGAAAAGTCGAGCTCAACGTTTTATTGAAAGTACTAAGGCAGGTAAATTTGAACACAGCACCCCTGCCTTACATCTCTGATCTCGTGTATGGAAGTTCTGACACGACGTGTTTAGTATTCGCCGTGTAAACAACAAGCAACAGGAAAATAATATTTCTATTAAGCATTTGGCCAATTATCATGCCCTTATCTTTCTGTTGGATTATATTCTTTTCTGTTGTAGTGCACCAATGAAGTCAGTATATCCTTGCTGTCATGGTGTGCTGGAAATCCCACAGGGACTAATTAGACATTGCTGATATGCCATAAAAATGCAATTCCTGTTTTTGCTTGTGTGAGTTTAACAAAACGCCTTGGATTAAGCATGCCCCCTAAAATGTAGACTTGGCCTCTGACATTTCCAACTACCTGATAACATACCACGCCATATTATAATTGAGCCTTACCATTCTGTGATTTGATATAAAGATCCATACTAGGTGAATAAGTTTGCTCTGAGAAATGAATGTATTCTGGATTCCCCCCCCCCCCCCCCGGATCTCCAAAGCTTTCTATTTCCTTAAATGCCTGCTATCAGTTAACCCTGTTTTATCTAGTTAATGCTACTCCTTTATGAAGTGCTTCCTCTTCAACATATTCTGTCATTAGAGGACTGTGATACCACACTATAATAAATTAATAATAATAATTTATTATTTATATCCCGCCCATCTGGCTGGGCTTCTCCAGCCACTCCGCGCGGCTTCCAGCCAAATATTAAAATACTGTGATACATCAAACATTAAAAGCTTCCCTAAATAGGGCTGCCTTCAGATGTCTTCTAAAAGCTTGGTAGCTGTTGTTCTATTTGACATCTGGTGGGAGGGCATTCCACAGGGCAGGGACCACTACCAAGAAGGCCCTCTGCCTGGTTCCCTGTAACTTGGCTTCTCGCAGTGAGGGAACTGCCAGAAGGCCCTTGGCACTGGACCTCAGTGTCCGGGTAGAACGATGGGGGTGGAGACGCTCCTTCAGATATACTGGACCAAGGCCATTTAGGGCTTTAAAGGTCAGCACCAACACTTTGAATTGTGCTCGGAAACGTACTGGAAGCCAATGTAAGTCTTTCAGGACCGGTGTTATGTGGCGGCTATTCCCAGTCACCAGTCTAGCTGCCGCATTCTGGGTTAGTTGCAGTTTCAGGTCACCTTCAAAGGTAGCCCCACGTAGAGTGCATTGCAGTAGTCCAAGCAGGAGATAACCAGAGCATGCACCACTCTGGCAAGACAGTCTGCGGGCAGGTAGGGTCTCAGCCTGCGTACCAGATGGAGCTGGTAAACAGCTGCCCTGGACACAGAATTGACCTGTGCCTCCATGGACAGCTGTGAGTCCAAAATGACTCCCAGGCTGCGCACCTGGTCCTTTTAGAAGATGTATTCTAAAAGTCAGATAGTTGTTTATTTTCTTGACATCTAATGGGAGGGTGTTCCACAGGGTGGATGCCACTACTGAGAAGGCCCTCTGCCTACTTCCCTGTAACCTCACTTCTTGCAGGGAGGGAACTGCCAGAAGGCCCTCGGTGCTGGACCTTGGTGTCTGGGCTGAACGATGGGGGTGGAGATCCTCCTTCAGGTATACTAACACCATGGATTGGAGTTTGGCAGAGGAGATTCAACACAGCCGCTACACTGGTGGGTCGCTACATTGGTGGGTCAAATGCTTGGCAGTGAGTTGGCATCACATCAGTGGTGACCGATCCCTACCTGCCCTCTGTGGAAAAATATTCTGCCCATGAAAGGAAAGAGATGTCATTCAGATGTTGTTGTCGTCCTTGTCATTTTATTAGATCTCAAGGTGCCAGCCAGTTCAGGGAAACCACAGGGTTTGCAGAAGGAGCAAAGGAACACCACAGGGAGGAACGGAATAGATACGGGGGAACTCAAACTTTATACCCACAGGGCGCCCTTGGGACAGTGGAGAACTACGGATGCTCACCAGTCACAAAATGGTGGCAGAGAGGCAGTTGGGCAGCTAGGCATTATGGAGACCACTTTCTACTGACCTCTAATCCTGCTTTTCAAATTGCTAAATTGTTTGCCCACAACATCTAAATTGTTTGCCCAAAATCTTCCTGATGCAGAGGTTGTGCCTGGCAAATAAGGTACTGGCCCACCTGAAAGTACCCCCAAAGCCCACTGTATGCTAAAAGAAGGCAGGGCTGTCTGGCTGTCACCCTCCCAACATTTTAGTAAAATAAGCAAATGCACTTCTGAAATGTGAGAATGCGCATTGTAGCCTACCTAGGACTTTCATTAGTGTAAAGATTCACGTTGGAAATGACTGAATGTGTGAGAATCCTAAATTTGCTCTGCTAACTGAAAAAGTCAAGGCAAAAAAACCCCACCGACAACTTTAAAAACTTGCAATTAAAATCGAGTAAACTTGTCTCAGCCTTAATTAAAGGCTGCTCCATAATAAGCCCAGCCTTTCAAAGTATTCAAACAAATGAAGTTAAAGATGGTCAGTTATTGTAGCTTATGTAACCACACATTTTTCCTTAATAGTGCATTTGGAGAGCAGCTAGTGCCTTGTGAATAACAAGCTATTCAGAGAAAAGAAAAATCTGTCCTTGCCATGTTTTTCTCTTTCTGTTTTTCAGTTCTTGATCACTAGGGGTATTTGCATAACAAGAGGAGGATGAACTTTGTTGCTGAAGGGATTACATTAAGTCTGTCCTTCACTGGCATATCAAAGAAACATTCTTCTTTCACTTGCACAGGTGTAAATTGGTATCAACTAAGATGAGAGCTGAAAGCATGTGTCATCTAGTCACTGTAAATCAGTTATTTCGTTAATTGCAGACTGAAAAGACCAATTGTTAATTGGATTTTGATCTGAGCTGTGAAATAACTAAAGGTTGTTTCTCCATTCAAGTGAATGAGAGACAGTGGGTGACTGAACCTCCTTGGTGCATTGATAGACCGGAGTGCTCTCGGCCTCGGTCCAGTATACCTGAAGGAGCACGCTGAGGTCCAGCGCCGAGGGCCTTCTGGCAGTTCCCTCATTGCG